TTCCAGGTTTCCTTCACCAACTACTTTTCACCCAATACACAGTCCTGGGCTTGATCAAAGCTTCCATCCACCTACCTTTGAAAAGGCATCTCAAGGATTTCCTGGTGACTCAGTGGTAAAATATCTGCCTGCCAGTGAAGGAAACACAGGTTCGATCCCTGGTCCAGGAAGATCCCACATACCACACAACTAAGGCTGTACACCAGAACTACTAAGTCTGCTCTAGAGCCCATTTTCCACAAGAGAAGCCACTGCAATGAGAACCCTGTGCATAGCAACTAAAGAGTAGCCTCCATGCTCTAAAGCCTGAGCAGAAACAAAGACCCAGCACAGCCAAAAATGAATCGATTACTTTTTAAAAAATTAAAAGAAAAAAAGAAAAGGCCTTTCCACCACCTCCTTGTCTTCTGGCATTTGTCTGGAAGCTGGATCACCTTCATTTCCTACCCATACCTGAGTCTGATGTGGTACTGGGTTGTGCAGATCGAAATGTTTGCATCCTCCTCCACATTCATATGATGAGGCCTACTCCCCACTGCGACCGTGATGGGGATGGGGCTTTTGGAAGCTAACTAGGTTGAGATGTACTTCCTTGGTGACTCAGATGGTTAAGAATCTGTCTGCAATGTGGGAGACCTGGGTGTGATCCCTGGGTGGGGAAGATTCTTCTGGAGAAGGGAATGGCACCCCACTCCAGCAGTCTTGCCTGGAGAATCCATGGGCAGAGGAGCCTGGTAGGCTACGGTCCATAGAGTCACAAAGAGTCAGACACGACTGAGCAACTAACACTCAATATTGAGATGAGGCTGAGATGAGGTTGTGCGTGTGGAGACCAAAGGATGGGATGAGGGCCCTTACAAAGGGAGGAAGAGCCCAGAGGAGGCATGTGACTATGCAGCAAGAAGTTGTTGGTCTGCAGACCCAGGAGCTGGTCCTCTCCAAGAACATGCATTCTGGTCCTGGCTCTTAAGACTGCCAGCCCCCAGAACTGTGAGAGATAAATGTCTGTTGGTTAAGCCTCCCAGTCTACAGTATTTTTGTTACAGTGCTTTGGTGATTTACTGAAAAGCTGAAAGAGGTATTATAAATACTAATTCCCAAGATAAGCCTATAGAGACAAATAAAATTTTAAATATTTCAGAAAGAACAACAGTAATTCTAATATAATTACATGTGGCTCAAAGGGTCAATGACTGTATGAACATATATAATCCCAAAACTGACACCATCAGCAAATAATATTTAAGTATAAAAAAGAACATCTAAAATTCTATTTTCTCAGTATCTTAAATATAAACATACTCCAGGATATTTCAAAATGTGGGCTCCACAAGTGACCAGAAAGTTGATAACAATAAGAAATGCATGCTCCTGTTTTGGTTACTTGAATGGCTTTCCAAATCTGTTTCATTTGAGTGTCTCCCATGGTTATAGCCCAGGTTCATGCAAAGATCACCATATCTGATAGTACACAGCAAGGATACTCAGCAGATTCCATGCACATCAGTTTTTTTTTTTTTTAACCACATAAAAATACTTTGATAGATGCTGTCTTCCTCCTGCACACTGTCTGGAAGGTGTTTTAAGTACACTGCAGCTATAATAATGGAGGCTCATGAGCTGTGTTTCATTTTGTCATTCTGTATTCTAGAAAGACCAGCTCCACGCTGGCAATAACCTGCCTGGCCCATGGATGAGATGGAGAAGACGGAAGCAGATGGGGTCCATCTGTTAACCATAAACACTTCTTCATTGGTGTCATCCTCAGATTTATGAGTGTTACGTTTTTGAGAAAGACTCTGCCATTGATTATATTTAATCTATATTTTTAAGCAATCAAACCACTGACCATTTTTCATAGATGTGGATCAAGATGTACACGTTGTATAGATGGACTTTTTTTTTTTTCAAGATGCCTCCTGGATGTAAATCATGTGATGTCAGTTACATCCAAATCCTTCTAACAGAGTGGTAAGTGCACACTGCCTATTCACCTAGCTCTGGATATGAGAAGCAGCACAGCAGAGTGGAACTAATCTGGAGCAGAAGTGAAGAAACAGGACTATTTCCAGGTATGCAATCTACCTTTGTAACTCTTAACAATCCTGCACCTCAAACTCATATATAAAAATGTACAGAGCCAAGGGATGCACCATGAAACACTGAACAATGCATTATGGTAGAATTCAAAAGATGTAATGCAAATTACTGTGTAACGTAAGTATAAATGATCACACTTCACAGTGCTGTTGTTTTTGTTCAGTTGCCAAGTCGTGTCCAACTTTTTGTGACTCCATGGACTGCAGCATGCCTGACTCCCCTGCTCTCCACTATCTCCCAGAGTCTGTTCAAACTCATGGTGACACCATCCAATCGTCTCATCCTTTGCTGTCCTCTTCTCCTCCTGCCCTCAATCTTTCCCAGCATCACAGTCTTTTTCAGTGAGTCAGTTCTTCACATCAGATGGCCAAAGTATTGGAGCTTCACCTTCAGCATCAGTCCTTCCAATAAATAATCAGAGTTGATTTCCTTTAGGATTGACTGGTTTGATCTCCGTGCTGTCCAAAGAACTCTCAAATAAAGGATGTTCCCCAAATGAAGGCTGTCCTATTCATTTCTAAATCTTGACTTACTACTAGGAAGATTCAAGTGACAGAAAAACTTAAAACAATCTTTCATTCAATTTTCTGCCCAAAGCTTAGAATTACTTTGAGGAGCCAAGTGAATTGAGAGCAGAAAAGCATTTAAGTGTTATAACATTAGAGGAAGAAGGAAGAAAAGCCCATATTCATACCTCCAAGGCCAGAGGGATTTCATCTAGTTTTCCAGGTCTGCTTCTCCCCACAACTTGTAAAGAATGGCCTGAATCAAAGACTCAGGGCCCAGGCAAGAGAGCAGGAGCACTCTGTGACACCACCCCCGGCCACACACCCTTATGCTGCTGGAACTATCTCATACAAATTCAGGTTAATAGAAGCCATCCTTGCAAGCAAAAGACACTTATTTCATCCACTATTCATAAAATAAACATCTCCCCACAAAATGCCTATCCAAACAGAGGAAATAAATTATTGAACACTAAAACTATTCGAACAACACAAAGACTCACAAGCTAAATAACAGGCTGTGTCCAGGACAGTCTCATTGTCACTAAGAATTTCAAAGTCATCCTAATTCTGTCTTTGTCATCAACCCCTTCTTGACACAACCCTTCTCGAAAGCTGCAGGGCAACATGCAGCCACAGATGTTAGAGGACCCCCAAAGCATTTAAGATGTCTCTTACAGAACGTGTTCCCATTTGTCAATGTCCTGCTGACAAATCCTGGGATAGCACAGTTGGCTGTTTTTCATTTCCCCCAGAAACAGAGGAGGAAAAAAAAAGGACTGTTGACTTCAGCTGTGATGATTCAAAGAATACAGGATTTAAAAATTATAGCATGTGTGCATGCTCAGCCATGTCTGACTCTTTGTGACCCCATGGACTTCAGCCCGCCAGGCTTCTCTATTCATGGCATTCTCCAGGCAAGAATACTGGAGTGGACTGTCATTTCCTTCTCCAAGGGATCTTCCTAACCCAGGGATCAAACCTGCATCTCCTGCATTGGCAGGTGTTTCTTTACCACTGTCATCACCTGGGAAACCTTTACATTTTATAGGGCATCAGGCAAATGTGACACATGACAACTGTTGCTATGATGCAGAAAGAGACACAGGATAGGCGGAGAGTGATGTGTACCAAGAAGTCTGCAGGCGTGGAACAGAAGCTCAAGTGGAGCGGAACAGATGCACAGAAGGGTCAGAATATAAAGCAGGTCCATAGCAAACTACAATAAACAAGCAAACCAAACCAAAACCCACTATAGGATCCCTAAGGAAAGAGAGGTGAAATCGACACGAGTCAAGATGGGGAACGAGCAGCCTATGGACCGAAGCACAGCAAGAAGCAACAAGAATGAAATTGGAGAATTCTACGGGGGAAACCAAACCTAGAGTCTAAATAAGTGGATGGCAAACTGTTTAGAGGGGACAGGTCACTTAATCCCATTTGGTCAGAATTCCTGAGACCCTTGATCTGTCCATGAAACTACTGGCTGTACAAAATACAGATGGTAGAGTTTACAAGACAATAAAACAAGACACACAAGTGATTATGACACTAAAAAACGTCTACTTATTTTTTTCTTTTAAAAAGCTTTCTTTAATTTTAAATTGAAGGATAACTGCTTTACAGAATTTTGTTGGTTTCTGCGAAACATCATCATCAACAACAACAAAATGTCTACTTAAATGCTCAAAGGGCTTCCCAGGTGACTCAGTGGTAAAGAATTTGCCTACCAATGCAGAAGACCCAGGTTCAATCGCTGGGTTGGGAAGATCCCCTGGAGAAGGAAATGGCAACCCACTCCACTCCAGTATTCTTGCTGGAAAGTCCCACGGACAGAGGAGCCTGGTGGGCTACAGTCCGTGGGGTCACAAAAAGTCAGACAAGACTTAGCGACTAAACAAAACAGAACAAAAACAAACAAAAATGTTCAAAAGTAAAAGATGTGTTACTAATTTCTAGGTTTAAACCTATGGCTAGGGAGCTGAAAATTAACAAAAATGCCTATAAGTTTGTGTGTGACATGCCCATGTGATTCTTTGGATTTTTATCAAGAGGATGAACAGGGAGAGGGTATTATATTTTGGACTCCAACACCTTGCTCTTTAAAAGTAACTCAGTAACCAGATCTTCCAAACAAGATGGCTAAGCAGAAGCAAGGGCAAAACCACAAATTCACAGCAAGGTTTATGAAGAATGATAACACTGAACTTGTCTCGAACTCTTTGTTACCTGGCTACTCACTGTGGAAGCAAGAGGAGAACTGGGGAGACTGCTCAGAGCATCCTCTTCCTCCCTGCTGGTGTCCTGACACTGACTGGCTCTCTGGGGCCCTCCCCAGGGACAGGCTCTCTGCCCGCTGGACCTGCTCTGAACCAGGAAGGTGAGTTACTGTACCTGTAGCCAGAGCCTGTCTCCAGCCACGGTCCTGCCGATGGCGCTGCACTGGAAGGTGGCAAACTGGCCGGCATTGACCTCCACGTTCTGGATCCGCAGGAAGTGGGGCGTTCTGGCTGCAGGAAGACAAAGAAGGAAAGATGTGAAAAGTGGAGGTCTCAACCCGTTTGTGTCTTTTCAAATCTGTCTGCAATTTCGGGCCTCTCCCTTTTGTTTACTTTTGAAGAAAAGAATGCCTTTGCTTCTAAGAGCTTTAAAGATTTCATTATGCCTGTAAAAGACGTTCTGGAAAGATCTGCTGTGTTCTCTAACAGCCAGGCATTCTGGGATAGAACCAGACGGAAAGAAGATATTTTATGGTCCCTGCTGTGCAAATTATCATAGCTCAGCAGTCTTCTTGTAATAACAGATCTGTATTAATAAAGATTACACTGAGGCCTAATTGATGTTTTGAACAAAAACATATTAGATATTTATACTAGGAACATGAAAAGAACAGTAAGAAGTTAAATGATGTTGTCAAGGAAACTTTTTAAGCCAAGTACGGAGCTGTGAGTAATATATATTTTAATACAACTAATTGGTATGCAGCACTCCTCATGTAATATTTCCCAGCGACCAAAATACTCTCCCCATAGACAGACTCTGTGAAATTACACTGCAACCGCTAGAGCACGGCGGGCTTTGCTGATTCTTATTTCCAATTCAAGGAGAAAGAATGATTCCAACTGCTAAATAGCATTAAGTTTCAGAACATGCATTGTCCATAGGGGACATCTGTTTAAACAAAGCATCGTTCTATTTGATCTGAGAAGCACAGATCCATTTCGGGAGCACACTGAAGACATCCACTAAGGAACTGCAGGGATGGGTTGGGAATTAAATTTTATGATAACTTCTCCTTTTAGGAAAACACTCTTACCAGTACAAGGATAGAGTGAAAGAGTAGCAAGAGGTAGGGTAGGGGGAGGTTAGGGAGTAGAAAAGAAGAAAACAGGATGGTGATGTTTTCTGGGAGAAATGGAGAAATCTGAATGACAGCTAGAAGGCATTGTTCATGCCTTGCCAGCCTGCGTCCCCAGTGCCAGCGTGTCTCTGGATCACACCTTTCAAAGAATGGTCCACCGCTCCTGGGCACCCGAAGATGATATATAGCACTAATATTAGCCTGTGAAAAACATAATTAGGGGACTTCTCTTAGCAGTTCAGTAGATAAGACCTCGCCTTCCAATGCAGGGGTTGGGGGTTCAATCCTTGTTTGGGGAGCTAAAATCCCACAAGCCTCTCTGGCAAAAAACCAGAACATAAAAACAACAGAAGCACTATTGTAACAACTTCAATAAAGACTTAAAAAAAACACAATTAGGAGTGAAAATGAATTACTATCCAAGAACAAAGAAAAATGTAGTTTAATAGCAATAACACAGAGGAAACTCCCATTACTCATTTGAAGACCAGCAATAACTGCAACAATGCGTTCATGAAGCCTGGCATGCAAAATGTCCTCAGTAATTTCTAAAACAGCGGTATTAACTGTATGTCATTGTCTCTAATACTATTATATTCTCTTAGAAGCCTATAAACTATTTCTCATTAACTTAATCAAATTCCCCTTAGTCAAGAACAGCACAAGTCTATGGTTTTTAAAGATCTGTGCAGAAAGTCCTTGCATCACATTTCTTTTTCTAATTTTTCGTTTCCAAGAAGCTGAAAGACCCATTGTTTTCAGAAAGTGGCAAAAGGTAATGTTTTTTGGAGCATTTCACCGGCAGAAACTTTTCCATTGATGACTCATATGTGTTCTCTGAAGAAGGGTTTTTTCCATCATTTTACTTATGGGTACTTAGCCGGTGAGAGCCAGACACAGAGTGGAAACTTGGGTCTGGCCAGTTTCAAAGCTCAGGCGCTGCCCACTAGGCAACACTGCTTTGTACCTAGGTGAATGCTTTTCCCGGGCTCTGCATCCCACCAGGTGTGGCTCCAAATCTGACTGTTGGAATTCAAGCTCCTTTCAAGGCCCCTCTCCAGTGCTGTTCTTTCCATAAAGCTTGCATGGATTCCCTGAGCTTGCTGTCAGACCTTTGTACCATCACTTGTCCTCTGTCAGGATATCTCACTGCTGTTACCCTCTCCTGTCCATCTCCTGTCCTCCTGCCTCTTCCTCTGGCTGCAGGTCACTCCCACACTGGCTTCATAACACAAAGTGTTGGGTGTGTAGCCATCTTTCATGACCACTTGGGAAGTGTCACCCCACCTGGTTAAACCCAGGGTCCCTCCAGAGTCTGTGCTAAAGGGTTGCTAATAAAGGGTTGCTAATTATTTTGAGTTTCACCCTGGATATATCCCCACACAGTTAAGTTACTAAAAATTAAAAAAAAAATTTTACTCTTTTGGGATAAACCATAATGCAAAAGAACATTAAAAAAGAACATACATAAGTGTATAAGGGAGTCATTCTGCTGTATGGAAGACTGGCATGACATTGTAAATCAACTATACTTCTATTTAAAAAGACATAAAGGTACTGCTAGTATATATTCTTATTTGCAACGTATGAGGCAGCCCACACCATGGTAAGTGCTAAAAATATGTTTACTACCTTGCATAAAAAGACTCACCATTATTAAATTTGCCTTTCTTTGACTACTGATGAAAAAAGTCTCCCTTAAAAATCCACTGCAAAATGTCCCTGTGCTGATCATGCTCGTCTTAGACCTTGGTTTCCTGCCCTGTACCCCACCTGCGATCCTTCTCCTTTTCTCCCTCCCTACCCACCAAGGCTGCCAGCATTCTCAAAACCCCTCTTGCTTTCCTTATGCTCTATGACTGAGCTCCCTTAGCTTCTCTCACCCAGAAGGGTTCATCCAGGTGTTGTGGGGCTTCAGAGCTCTGCACCCTCCTCTCCCCTATGGAGGCAGGAATGCAAGGAAGGTCTTTCTTCCCAGAGTGACCTCTCCCCCGGAGATCTGCAGCCTTTTAAAGGCTCCCACACTTTTTAATTGGCACACAGGGAAAGCTAAAAAACATTTAGTTTGCAGCATCAAGAATAAGTTTCCCACAGACTAAAATCATTTACAGAAAATGAATTTCAATCTTGAAATTTTAAGTTCATTCTTTATCAGGCATGTCAGGATCATTATTTTCGAAGAGCAAGGGTGGGTCACACATATTGTTTTCCCTTTTTCTAATGTTACTGCCTGTTTCTGAACTGCTGAAAAATAACATACTTTATTTGTATCCAAATCCAAACCGCCTCCTGAAATGACTTACCAAGATCATCTTCATTTACATATCCCTCCTACCAATATGACTAAAGTATTAAAAAGGTGTCCAATGTATTTAAAATCAATTCCATTCTTTTTCCTAAGATTTTTGACTTAAATAATTTTTTACCTTTAGAAACACTTTCGATAATAAACATTAAAATTAAAGAAATAACATATTTTTAAATTTAAATTAAAAACCTGAATTTAGAATTTTCTAACTACTTCATTTCCCAATCATACATAAATTTACCTTTAAGAAGCAGCTTTGGAAATAGGAATGCTTTTCTGCACTATCTATCATGCTCCTACTCAGTTGAGTCCGATATTTTTTGAGCCCATGGACTGTAGTCCACCAGGCTCTTCTGTTAATGGGGTTTTTCAGGTAAAAATACTGGTGTGTGTTGCCATTTCCTTCTCCAAGGGATCTTTCCAATCCAGGAATGGAAACCACATCTCCTATGCCTCCTGCATTGCAGGCAAATTCTTTTACCTGCTGAGTCACTGGGGAAGCCTGCACACTTTATGATTTTTAAATGGAAAGCATTTGGTAACCTGTGGCGGAGACACCTGTCTGCAGACCTAAGCTTGGGCCTTCTGAGAGGCTGGTAAATACCCACTTTGATCCACCAAGGCTCACAGTGACTCCAGGAATGTTCCTACAGATTGCTTATTTGTACTAAGTAAGGAGGCAGATGAAAACCAAATCATGAGAACAGATACAAATGGGGGGTGATCATCAGAAGAGGGGAAATGAAGATGAAACAAAAAATCCTACTGGAACAACAACAACAGAAGCCTCCAGTACATGGCAACTATGTTATTTATGGGTGGCTCTGAGGTCTGGTGGGAGTTCCTGGTTCTGCATAAAATTATTAGAGCAGGTCTTGGCCATTAAAGAAATTACATCCTCTAACTTAGTCTATTGGTATCTATTTACCTTTTTGTGACTACTGTGCACTTTTGAAAAAAGTTAACAATATACTGTGAGCATTTTCCCTGTTAAATATTCACCTAAAACTATTAGAAAAAGTTATAGTTCACAATCAGGGATTGTGTCACCCACAGGGGACATCTGATGATATCTGGGATATTTTTGTTTTTCACAACAGGGGTAGGGGAGGTGGCGGGGCAGATGTTGCTAGAACCCAGTGTGCAGAGGTCAGCGATGGTGTTAATATTCTACAATGCACAAGACAGCCTCCATAGAAAGGGATTACCCATCCTAATGTCAATAATGTCAAGGTCATGAAATCTTTAAATAAATATGGGCTTCCTAGGTGGCACAGTGGTTAAAAAAAAAAAAAATCCACCTGCAATGCAGGAGACGCAAGAGACCTGAGTTCGATCCCTGGGTTGGGAAGATTCCCTGGAGGAGAGCATGGCTACTCACTCCAGTATTCTTGCCTGGGAAATTCTGTGGACAGAGGAGCCCGGCAGGCTCCATGGGGTCGCGAAGAGCGCGCGCGCACACACGCACACACACACACACACACACACACATATATATCATATGAACATAAAAAAGTTAACTGGAACATTCCTTTACTTTGGACCTCTGAGTTTCTTAAACATAATGCCAAGACACAAGAGTTCATAATTAAATCCTCATGTAGACTTTTTGTTTTTTCCTTAGGGTGAAGTTTTAGAAATTGAATTACTAAGACAAAAAGAAGTATTTTTTAAAAGACTTTAGACACAAATTGCTGAACTGCTTTCCTTCAAGTGTATAACAAACTGCATTTCTACCAGCATGGTGGTATATGATGCTTTTTTTTTAACCAGCCCTCAAAAATGCTAAGTATTAATTTCTGTATTCTTTCTGAAGAATTTGATTAAATATATGTGCTCTG